TTTTGTATACACACTCCACTGGTACTCCGAATCACACCTGAGCTGAAATCTAGGCCTCGTCTCTGAAAACTGGAGTGGCTTTAGGCAACTTTCTTAGCATCTATGAACCTGTTTCTTACCCATAGAATATGGTTAATGTTACCTATCTGGGGAGTGCATGTGTGAATTGAGATATGACAGTAGGGTGACTGGTGCACTGCTGGACGAATGGTCATTATTATGTCATCTATTCACCTAGCAAATACTGGAGTACAGCATGTCCAGCCCCTTGACGGGATGGAGTTGGAATTCTGGGGAAGGAGGCATGCTCACACCAATATATCCTAGTGTCTTTCCCGGTGACACTCAAAAATTTCAACGCCATGCCAAAGTGCCAAGAACAGAAGAAAGCAAAGAGGTTCTGGAAGAAAGGAGGCATCCAATGGGCTCTTTAGGTGGAACAGGGAGGGAAGTGGCAGTCAGTCCATGAATGACACTGCCTACCTACGGAGTACTGAACCCGTGTCCGGGTTGGTAGCCTACCCGCTTTAATAGCAGGTTCATCCAAAACCTGTTGGGGTGAGGGACCTTCGTTCTAGTGGGAAGGTAGTCATTGAAACAGGGTTGATCACTTTGGACTGCTCAGGTTTGGGATGAAGAATAGGTCAGGGTTGCAGCTCCAGCTCCACTTGGGGCGGGCATGAATAGGAGGCAATAAATGGACAGGCTCATGAATACGTCGCAATGCTAAACTCCACGGATAGCATTTGGTTCCACCACAGAACCGAAAAGGTACTAGTCTGGTCTCTTTATGCGTCTGCAGCGAGGAGCCCAGGGAAAGTCCCTTTGGTCCGGGTCCTCAAGGACAGCTGTACCTGGGGCTTCCAGGCGATCCTCAGGCTGTCAAAGAATACCGTCTCTATGCAGTGGCCCAGAGCTCTGGCCTGGATTGAGGTCCCCCTGCCATGTAAGTGAATGGGAACTGGTGAAAAGCCCCGCAGATGCCTTAAGGAAGCGCTTCTTTAAGTAGCGAGACTTTAAAGAGAACCGACAAGGAATTCTCCCTCATACTGCAGGCCTTGTTACCGCGGATCCAGAGAATTACCAGTCCGCCTATGCGGGCTCTCTTCACACTAGCTCGAGCATAGGCCAAGGTCACACAGCGGCAGGTGTAAGGGGCACTCTCGAAGCTGGACTAGGCAAAAGTCAGCGGGCCCGTTACGAACAGGGCAAGAACCTGACTCTGAGGTCTCAGGCCTTAGCAAAGGAGCCAGGAGACCGCCAGA